AGTACATCAGCATGGTAAAAATTTTAAGTACCAAAGAAGGTATATACTAAAATGTATATTTCTTTCCATCTCTTCCCCCAGTCCCCTTTGATGGCTTACAACCATTGTAAGTTTATGTCTATTCTCCCAGCATCTCTATGTATGCAAAACCTACATACAAAATCTTTTTTTGTTTTGTCCTGTAACCACAGATTGGAACATAGTTCAACGTTCTTCACTTTGTTTCTACTTAATGATGTATCTGTATGTGTTCCCTATCAACACATAAATATTTACATAATTTTACTTATTGGCTATATACCATTCCATTCAGTATAATTTAACAGGTACCGTTGACAATGATACTTATGTTATTTCCAGGTTTATATTAGGTGGAGGGAGATGGGAGGTGTATGGTGACTTAAAATTTTCACAAATCCACTGTCTTGTTTGCTCCTCAAAATAGCATTGTAGACATAGGTAAAGCAGGTGTTACTCTTATTATTACATTTACTAGGAGGAAACAGAAGCTCACTTGAAGGTAGAAAAAAAGAGTCGGTAAGCATCAGAACCATGACATGAACCTGGGTGGTCTTAGGATTATTTAAAACTGAGCAAGCTATAACAGGTCAATATATTTATTTAACATTTATTGCCGTGTTGAGTTTGAAGGTATTTTTTAAAACATGCAAAAGCATGAATTATTAAGAAAGTTAATGTCTAAACAATAATGACAAAAGTAAAGTTAGCATATGTATAGGCATTAGTGTCATGGCATCTTGTATGAGTACTTCTGAGACTGCCTTAGAAGCAACGTCAGATAAAATGTGGGTTTATGGATAATTGGATAAGTGGTGCATGTTACTGTATGTTGTAAATTGAGGATGAAGTACAAACTTGGAGCACTGCTTCAGGTGCTGTAGGGTTAGTAGAATTGTGAGTAGTAGGATTGTTGCTAGTATTACTTTGTCAGCTTAATAGAACTCAAAAGAACAAAATGAATGTGTTCATGCTAAAAAAATGTTTTCTTCCCAGCTTGTGAAGCACTTACTGAGTGGGAATATTTGCCACCTGTTGGACCTCGTCCACCAAAAGGATTTGTGGGGCTGAAAAATGCCGGTGCTACTTGTTACATGAATTCTGTGATTCAGCAACTCTACATGATTCCCTCCATCAGGAACGGTATTCTTGCGATTGAAGGCACAGGTAGTGATGTAGATGATGACATGTCTGGGGATGAGAAGCAGGACAATGAGGTAAATTTTAGTCATCAGTTTTGTTTTCTGTGATTGAAGTTCTGCTACCATATACTGTTCTGTTAAGAGAGGATTGAACTTTGATCAGACCTGTTAAAGTGCATTTGAAAGTAGGAATGGAGTTACCTTGAAGTTTTGTAATGCTAGGACTCTTCATTTTTAGTAAGCTTCAATTTTTACTTTTCTAGTTTATATTTTTAATTATAGATCTCCATTAATTTATACCAAGTTATATAGTATTTACCAGCTTCATCTGTGTTTGCTTTTAGGTTATTCATATATTTCCCCTAGATCACAGCTCTTTATGCTTAGGAAACAAACTTCTCTCTACTTGAAGTAGTGTTACATGGTCTTGAGACAAAATTTACGCTGCCTGCTGAGTATTCAATGCAGAATAAAGAAATTAAAAAGTTATGTTATAGTGACAAATCACGAGTGACATGGCTCTTATAGCAAGACCTAAGTTGTGGTCATGTTTGAACCCACCCTATATTTCTTTGTTTTCATTTAACTTTTTTCTATTTATAGTGTTAGTGGGCACTAAAGAGAGAAGCCTGGGCATTTTTTTTTCTTTTTTTTGTTCTTTTTTTCTTTCAGTTGGAGTCTCATTCATCACCCAGACTAGAGTTCAGTGGCACGCTCACGGCCACTGCAGCCTTGATCAGCTGGGCTCAGGTGATCCTTCCATCTCAGCCTTCCAAGTAGCTGAAACTACAGATGCACGCCACCACGCCCAGCTAATTTTTTCGTGATTTATTATAGAAATGAGTTTTCACCAAGTTGCCCAGGCTGGTCTCTAACTCCCCGGCTCAGGCAGTTCTTTCTCCTTGGCCTCCCAAAGTGCTGGGATTATAGACTGAGCCACCACACTTGGCCATTTTTTCTTTTAAAGAGGCAGGATCTCGCTCTGTCATCCAGCTATTGTGCAATGGAGTGATCATAGCTCACTGCAGCCTCAGACTCCTGGGCTTAAGCAGTCCTCCTGTCTCAGCCTCCCAAGTAGCTGGGACTACAAGTATATACCATGATACCTAGCTTTTTCTTTTTTTTTTTTTTTTGGCTACGTTGCCAAAGTTGATCTTAAACTCCTGGACTCAAGTGATCTTCCCACTTCAGCCTCCCAAAGTGCAGAGATTACAGACATGAGCCACCACCCCTGGCCCAGAGAATATTCCAAATGTAGTAAATGACTGGTTCTTTTCATTCTCTTCAGTTGCCAGAACTGGTTTTGCTTTGGAGACAATTGTGGGCCTTCTGAAACATTGTTTGAGGAATTGGATCTGAGCATTTTTATTTTTTTAAGACTTCATAGGGGATGTTTATACCTGTACCTGGTTAAGAATCACTGCTCTGAGGAAAAATTGGAATTTAAATTCTAGTTCTATAGCCCATCTCATCCCTAGGATATTGAGTTAAGCACAGGTAGATACAGCTAATTGTACTGGCAAAAAGTAAATCATACACACAAATATAATTTCAAATATGGTGTCCCACCTGTGGTATTCTCTCCTCTGTGTTGTCTCTGCACCCCACTGCACTGTGGTAGGTTGAGTTTTATTTTGTTTGTTTTGCTTATGTTCTTATTTCCTTCCCAAGACTATAAGTTACTTATTGGTAGGGACTGAATATTGTTGATTTCTGTATCAGAGATCTTAGATACAGTTCACAGAATATAGAAAGATGTTCAGTTAACTGTAAAGGCAACTAATTCTGCTCTGTAACTGCAATATGATTATGACTTTTAGGGAATCTATTTTCATGTTACGTCTTCTCCCACTACTACTGTTTTTTTAATCGTGTTGAAATACACATAATATAAAATTTACCATCTTACCCTTTTTTTTCTTTTTTTGAGTTGGAGTCTCACTCCGTCACTCAGGCTGGAGTGCAGTAGCATGCTCATAGCCACTGCAGCCTCGACCTGCTGGGCTCAGGCGATCCTTCCGCCTCAGCCTTCCAAGCAGCTGGAACTACAGGCACGTGCTACCACGCCCAGCTTATTTTTCAATTTATTGTAGAGACAAGGTCTCACCAAATTGCCTGGGCTGGTCTCAAACCTGTGAGCTTTAGGCAGTCTTCTCTCCTTGACCTCCCAAAGTGCTGGGATTATAAGCTTGAGCCACCATGCCCAGCCTAAATGTACAGTTCAGTGGTAATAAGTACATTTATGTTGTTAGCATTATCACCACTAGCCATCTCCAGAACTCTTCATCTTGCAAAACTGAAGCTCTGTACCCATTAAACAAGTCCCCATTCTCCCAGTCCCTGGCAGCCACCATTCTTTCGGTCTGTATGATCTTGACAACTCTATGTACCTCATATAAGTGTAATCATACAGTATTTGCCTTTGTATAACTGGCTTATTTCAGTTGGCATAATGCCTTCACGGTTCATCCATGTTGTAGCTTGTGTGAGAATTTTCTCTTTTTAAAGGCTGAATAACATTTCATTGTACAGATATACCACATTTTGCTTTTCTATTCATTTGTTGAATTTTTGGGCTGCTTCCCCTTTTGAGCTGTTGTGGATAGGCTGCCATGAACATGGGCATACAAATTTGTTTCTGAGACCTTGCTTTCAATTCTTTTGGGTACATGCTCAGAAGTAGAAGTGCTAGACCATGTGGTGATTCTATCTTTAATTGTTTAATTAACATTTTACAGCGACTGCACCATTTTACATTCCTACCAACAGTATACAAGGATTCCGATTTCTCTGTCTTTGCCAACACTTGTTTTATTTTATTTTTTTATAGTAACCATCCTAATGGGTATAAGGTAGTATCTTATTGTGGTTTTGTTTTGCATTTCCCTAGTGGTTAATGCTTTTGAGCATCTTTTACTATGCTTATCATTAACCATTTGAATATATTCTTTGGAGAAATGCCTCCTCAAATCCTTTGTCTGTTACTGAATCGAGTTGTGTTACTGTTGAGTTGTCTGTATGTTCTGGATTTTAATCCCTTATCAAATATGATTTGCAAATGTTTTCTTCCAGCCCTTGGGCTGCCTTTTTATTCTGTTGATAATGTCTATGCACAAAAGTTTTAACTTTCATAAGGTCCACTTACCTTTTTTTTTTTCTTTTGTTGCCCTTTAAGAGTCTTATGATTTTAGCTCTTAATGTTTAGGATTTTGATCCATTTTGAGTTAATTTTTGTATATAATGTTAGGTAAGGGTCCAACTTTATTGTGTGTCGATATTCAGTTGACCCAGCACCACTTGTGGAAGAGTACTACAGTCATGTACCACATATATAACAGACCACATATATAACAGTGTCCAACAAAATTATGCCATATTTTTACTGTGCCTTTTCTGTATTAGATATACAAATACCATTGTGTTACAGTTGCTTCCAATATATGTTATACCATATAACCTAGGTATGTAGTAGGCTATACCATCTAGGTTTTCTAAGTACACTTTATGTTCACATGATGACAAAATTACTTACTGCCACACTTCTCAGAACATATCCCCATCATTAAATAAAGCATGAGTGCACTACTATTAATATGTCTATTTTATTGAATGCTTACAGTTCTGAGCACTTTATATACTTTGTCACATATAGTCCTCACAACAGATACATGAACAACATGTTATCCCTATTTGCACATAAAGAAACTGAAGCTTAGAAAGTTTAAGTAACTTTACTTGCTCCAAGTTACTTAGTTTATAAGTAGCAGAGCCTGCATTTGTGTCCAGTTCAGTCTAATTTAATCACTGTACTAATTCTGCTCTGCTGTATCATAATATTTGTATTATTTACCTCTCTGATACATGGTCAGGATTGTTTGATTATGATAACCAATATGTGAAATGATGATAATAAATACTAATATTATAAATTAAAATTCCTAGATTGAAAGTCAAGTGCTTTGGAAATAAACTGTACAAATCATTTGTTCAATAACTGGGATTTGTCTAAGTATATTTTACTATACTTTAGATAGCTCATTAATGCTATTTTTTGGTTTCTAGAGCAATGTTGACCCCAGGGATGATGTATTTGGATATCCTCAACAATTTGAAGATAAACCAGCATTAAGTAAAACGGAAGATAGGAAAGAGTACAATATTGGTGTGCTAAGACACCTTCAAGTCATCTTTGGTCATTTAGCTGCTTCTCGACTACAATATTATGTGCCCAGAGGATTTTGGAAGCAGTTCAGGTAAACTATGGGTGAATAATGATAGGAATACTTCTTAAAACATAGGAATACTTCTTGATGAACATCTCATACACTAATGTTAAACCTCTAAAACAGATGTTGGGAGGCAACTTCATGTTTAATATTTAAGCTGTAGTAAGTGTCCTTTTTAGTTCACCTTTTTCTTATTTCCATAGGAGGAGTAGGAGCTATCATAGTGAGGAAGGGCAGCATTCTTTAGTCTCTTAAGATACCACTACCTTTTTATTGGGAAAGCATCTAATGCATACAGAAGTAAAGAGAATAGTATGAACCCTTATGTACTCATCACCCAACTTTAACAGTTGTCAACTCATAGCCAATCATGGTAGTCTGTATTCCTACCTACTTCTTGCAGATCGTTCTGAAGGTAATTCTAGGTATATCTATCCATAAATACTTCAGTGTGTATCTCAAATATCTGTTTCAAAACAACCATGATACTATAATCATACTTCTAAAAAATTTCTTAATGTCAAAAATTTACCCAGTTATCTCATATATCTATATATTTTGTTTTTTTCCTTAAACTGGTGTTTTTTTAAAATTAGGATCCAAATCACAAATGGTTGATAATGACTCGAGTCTCTTTTATACTCTCCCCCCCCCCCTTTCGATTATTTGTTTTGGGAAGGGGGAGTTTACCCTGTAAATTTTCCCGAAGTCTGAATTTTGTTAATGGAATTTCTGTGATATTTTGGTATTTTCTGTTTTCCTTGGTCCCCTGCATCTCCTATGAGATGGTGAGATCTAGAGATTTGATCAGATCAAGGTTATTTTTCTTTTTGTGGAATGGATAGGCAAGGCTACTTCATAGGTGGTATGTTATCTCCATGGGGAGTGGCACGGGATGTCTGTCTTTTTATGATATTACCAGCTATTGGTCATCATTATCTTAATACAGTATTTCATCAGGGCTACAAAAATAGTAATATTCTAATTTTATCATTCTTTCATTTATTAGCTAGATCTGTAAAGGGAAACTCTCCCTCATGTATGACTTCATAGGAAGTAGCTAAATTTTTTTTTAAAGCACAATTACATCTTTTTTTTTGACTTCTTTATTTCTTTTTTGTTGTTGTTTGGTTTTGTTTGTTTGTTTTTTGAGTTGGAGTCTCACTCTGTCGCCCAGACTGGAGTGCAGTGGCACACTCCCAGCCACTGCAGCCTCAACCTGCTGGACTCTGGCGATCTTCCGCCTCAGCCTTCCAAGTAGCTGGAACTACAGGCGTGCGCTACCACGCCCAGCTAATTTTTTGATTTATTGTAGAGATGAGGTCTCACCAAGTTGCCCAGGCAAATCTCGAACCCTCGGTCTCAAGCAATCCACTTACTTCAGCCTCCCAAATCGCGGGATTACAGGCTGAGCCACCGAGCCCAGCTGACTTCTTTATTTCACTTTTTTTTTTGAGTTGGAGTCTCACTCTTTCACTCAGGCTGGAGTGCAGTGGCACATTTACAGTCGCTGGGCTCAGGTGATCCTTCCACCTCAGATTTCCAAGTAGCTGGAACTGCAGGCACACACCACCATGCCCGGCTAGTTTTGGATTTATTGTAGAGATGAGGTCTTGCTAAGTTGCCCAGGCTGCTCTTCAACCCCTGAATTTAGGCAATCCTCTCACCTCCGCCTCCCAAAGTGCTGGGATTATAAGCATGAGCCACTGCACCCAGCTATTTCACTGATTTTTTAAAAGTCAGTGTTTATGGTGTGTCACCGTGCTACTGTAGTATAACCATATAACATTTTACTATGTTTGAAAAGGGCTATAGTCCTTCATAGCAATGGGGTTTTTGTTTTGTTTTTAAATAATACTCCTCCTTAGAATCCCTTCAAAGTACCTCCCAGCCAGCTGAGAAGCAAGGAAGCAAAAGACTATGGCACTGATGCTCTCATCCACCTTCCCTGCTTCTGGCAGAGCAGTGCCCTTTTTACCCATAAGGATACTACAGTACTTAGATTATTTGGAAACCTCTGCTTTATAATACAATGACCACCCCCTCCCTTGACTATTATATAAGTTACTTCTATTCCCTAACTAGGCCCCCTAACTTAATCTGTACTAGTGGCTTACATATACCGCCCTCCCTCCCAGCTCTGCTTTTGTTCTTTTCCGTCCTTGCTCTCCTCTCTGGCTATTCCAGTTCTTTTTCTTTTCCTAGTTTATTCCATCTCTGCTGTAAGGCTTTTAGCATTTCTCTTCATGTTCTTCCAAACTACTCTCACACTTTTTAAGCTTTTATCTTAAAATTTGTTATTCAGTTGGTTTTCTCTCTTACAATGCCTCTGTTTTTTTTGGCTTCTCAATTAGTTATTCCCTGTGCTTTGTATAGACTAGCACTTTTGAGTTATCCACACTTTAAACACACAATCTACTCTTGATACATATGGGTTAGTCAACTACGCCCCCCCACCTAGTTTTTTTTATTTTAAAAAATGTCAGGTCTGGCTCGGTGGCTCACCCTGTGAATCCCACACCTTGGGAGGCTGAGGTGAGTGGATTGCCTGAGCCCACGGGTTCGAGATCCGCCTAGGCAACTTGGCGAGCCCTCATCTCTACAATAAATCAAAAAAATTAGCCGAGTGTCCTAGCGCACGCCTGTAGTTCCAGCTACTTGGAAGGCTGAGGTGGAAGGATCGCTGGAGCCCAGCAGGTCGAGGCTGCAGTGGCCGGGAGCAGCTACTGCACTCCAGTCTGGGCGACAGAGTGAGAC